ATCATATGGCATACTTCGATAACATCTTCTTATATTGAGAAATTGACGAAGTTGATCATTAAGAACTGTGATAATTTGGAATATCTATTCACATCTTCTATGGCTAGAGATCTGGTAATGCTTGGACACCTTGAAATAGGGGGATGCAAGAAGATGGGAGAGGTTCTTTTTACAGAGAATGAAGCAGAAAATGGGAGTTTGATTTTCCCTCAGTTGAGGATTTTAGAGATAAAAAGCCTTCCAAAACTCGAAAGATTCTGCCATGGGAATTACATCGAATTCCCCTGCCTTTCACAACTTTTGATGGAGAACTGCCCTGCATTGAAGACGTTCATCTCATCAGGCTCTAGTTTGGACACTTGTACACCTCCTCTATTTGACACAAAGGTAATTTCATCTATCTGGTTTTTCTTTATTTTTCACTTATTAATGTCTTGTAATACTATTTCATGGATCGCCTCATAAAGTTTTACATTCTTTTGAAAATTAGATTCCAAAAATTTTTCATTCCATTATCTCTCTAATTCTGTTCAGTCTTTTTAATACAATTTAGTAAATTTTTAGGTGACATTCCCCGAGCTCGAGCAACTAAAAGTTCAATTTATGGAAAGCTTGGACAAGATATGGGACAACCAACTTGATGCAAGTTCTTTTTGCCAACTAAATAATCTGAGTGTGGACTCATGCAATAAGCTACTAAATATTTTCCCATTTAGCATGCTGGAAAAGGTTCAGAGACTAGATAAGTTAGAGATATGGGGCTGTGATTCACTTGAAGAGATATTTGAGTCTCAAGGGCTTGATGCTGGCCAATCACAAACTCAAAAATCCACGCCACCAATTTTGACGGAATCTGTTGCAAAGTTTGTGTTTCCAAAATTGACACAGCTAGATCTTTATTATGTGGGCAAACTGAAGGTCTTATGTCATCAAAAGCATACTTCTGAATGGCCATCATTGAAAAAATTGAACGTGTGTGGATGTAAACAAGTACAGATATTTGCTTCAGAACTCTCAAGCTTCCCAAGAGCAAATGGGGATGACCAGCTTGAAGCCGATATTAAATATTCCCTTTTCTGGACAGGCAAGGTAAGAGCTCTAAACAATAATTCAAAAAAAGTTTGCTCAAGTGTATGATGCACTTGCATTAAATTAAAGCTTTTCTCCTGTCTGAAGATATTCATAAGCATAATCTATAATACTCTTTCTTTGTTTTTTGTCTTTATGGGCTGCTTAAGAAAACCAAACCTTTTTTTTTTTTTAATTTATAGAGATAATATTTTCTATAAATAAAAATTATTTATATTCCATAACCATATTTGCATCCTTCTTCTTT